GAGTAACTTTTTCCATTATTCTCACAAAGGCAATGGGCAATAGTCCCATAGGAATGGAGAGTGATGGTGCAGGGTGGTCCCGCCGGCGGGTTTGGTCAATGGAAAACAATAGTGGTGGCAGTGGTGGTGCTCTAGTGGTGTGGGCGGGGTGACGGGCAGATTTGGTTGAAGTTTACGTTTTTTGTCGGAAAAGGTTGCTGAAAAATTTCCCAATGATCAAAGTGACATCCCATCAGTGACACCGACAGTGGCGTAAGTGACACTAGCGGTGACGTCGGTGATCCTGACGGTGACATAAAAAATATGATAGTGGCATATAATTGTGACATAAAAATGACAGTGACATAAAAAATGACAGTTACATTATGTTTTACCAAATATGTGACTTTCTTAGTCACATTTTTGGACTTTTATAAAATGGTTACATTTTTGGAAATTAGCTTCAATTTGATAATATTCCAGGAAAAAGCCCAAAAAAGAATGCAATTTAATTAATTAAGCTCTTTATAATGACATTAAGATATTTATTTATTACGGAGTATATAAGAGGTAGTTTAAAATATTGGGTGACTTATTCTAGCAAATTGCTTGACTTTAATTTAAGCATGTAATTCAAATCTTAGTTGTAAATTGGGGCCAAATTATCAAATTGGTAAAAAAAGTCCTTTGACAGATTGATAAAAAAACTCATTTGAGACATATTGGTAAAAAACAAAAAAGCCCCAATAACAAATTGGTTAATTTTTTGTGAGTGATAAACTTTCGATCTCAACTTTAGAATTCCCGACATTTCATATTCTAAGTATTGTAAATTGACATTTGCAGTCCTTTTACTTTGATTTGACGTCAAAAGTGGAGGTCTAAAAATGTCAACAACCGTGTTTGATAATATTAGTAGTCTGCTATCTCATAGCCGGTTGAATCAACATATATATTGATATTAACGGATGCAAGTCCTATATACTTCTATTAACTATGGAGTACATTTATTTTAAAATATTTTTAAAATGACCATTAAAAAATGAATTTAAAAGTTTATATATTTAAATTAAATTTCTTTCTTTTTAGTTTTAATAAGTTTTGGAAAAAGTTTTAAAAATTATGTTTACATTTATTTTAAATAATTACTAACACTATCATTTTTAAGTCATGTACATTAATGTGAGCACAGAAATATAAATTCATATATTTTTAGTATTAATATTATAAACCTGACTGTTTATTAGTTTTTTAAAAGTCTACTACATTTAAAAATCTACTCCAGAATTCTGGTCACTGATGGAATATATTTCCATCTACTCCAAAGGTATCATAATCGCCAGCATAAGCATCATGGATCCATCCCGGAGTGCATAAAAATACTAAGTTCACGACTGGGACTGACCCCGACCCCGACCTTCCAAGGTCGGGACAAAGCATCAGACAACGGAACAACTAAGGGCCGGAGACCGGCCGACCGAGACCTCGACCCCCAAGGTCGGGAAAATATCAAGTTCAGGAACCGCTCAAACACGGCATGTTATGAGCCTGATCGACCTCGGATGCACCGAGCTCGGCACTAACTATGACCTCGGTCGTCAATGCAAGGTCAACAGAAGTCAAACTGAGGAGTCGACGGTCTCAAAGATAGAACTAAGAGCAATAGACGCATTCTCTTGCGAGGAGCCCGAGCACCAAAGTACTGACCTCAGTAAGCTCGAGGCCTGATTGAAGTAATGTGGACTTAGACAAATATATGGAAACAGTCACCACAGGGCAATATTGCCACGTCATCACTGCGTCCCAAGGAGGCCACGTCACTCCTAGCAGCGGGCAGAAAGAATGTTCCTAATCGCACACGTGTAGCCACACGGGTATTCGGGTAGCAATTTGTTAGGGGCAGTTCCAATCAGGAAGCTGTTCCAGACTTCTCTCCGATCACCTTTACATGTGGCTGCACCCTATCGACTTAGACTATTAGTTTGCTAGAACAGATTGAACACGTGTCATCTCCCCATTAGATCAGCATCTTTTTTACTTGGGCACCAAATATTGCCTTTTTAGTATAAATATCACCTTCCAACTTGACAAAAGGGATCGATTTCTGTATTCTCTAGCTGTTACTCTGCAGAAATATTTACCTGAACTTTCCGATCAGCTCTTCTCTCTTACTTTACTCGGATTCCGGCTACCCCCTAGTTCGGTGATCCATCAGTCACATTTTTGGAATTTTCAAAAATATGTCACTTTTTTGTCTTTTATCTTATTTTTAGTAATGTTCAGGCCAAAATGCCATTACTTTTTCGTCCACTACTCCGGTAGTTAACTTGATTGTTTTCAAATCTTTGATTCATAATATATATTTGTAACATCATATTTGAGTTTATTTTTGGGAGAACTCCCCAAGTAGGGTTAAATGAAACTTTAATTGTCAAAATAGGATAATAACTTTAAAAATTCCTAAATAGGACTAGCTATCCAATTCTACCCTTTCTTTGTTTAAATACAATTCATATTTCATTAATAATTAAAATACACGGTAATAAACATAACTTTATTTATAATAAAAATGTAAAAAAAAACAAAAAAAACAATAGCCGTGGGTTACCGCCTTCCAGGGGTGAGTTTTTTAGTTAAAGAACGTGGATAAAATGTCTTTTAATAGCCTAATAGTAGAAAAATAGATTTTAGCTGGAAAAGTAGTTATATGCTTACTTTTTGAGCTGATCATAACAAACAGCCGGATCAATCCAATGAATGAGTGTTTGATTATTTTTATAGATTTTCAGGCTTACAAGCCAATTCCTAATCCTCCAAACGGGCACTAATTTAGGGCTATTATTGTCTCTTTATTTTTTTGTAATTCAAGAGAACTTTGATCACTAGAATTTTTTATAGAAATAATGACTAAAGTATTACTTGGAGACTTTTAAATGACAAAAATAAGATCAAGTTTTAAATTGGACAAAAAAGAGACTAAATATTGATAAATGGACTGGAATGTCCTTGATTAAATTAGCCCAATGAAGTTTTTTCTATTCCAGACATCTGCTCCATCGACGCCTCCTCCAGCGTAGAACTCCACAATCACAGGTCTCCTCCAGCGCAAATCTCCTCCGGCGCAAATCTCCTCCTCCATCTCAAATCTCCACCGCCGCAAGCGCAACTCTCACCTCCGCAACTACTCAGTCTTCTTCTCCTTTATTATGTCCGCAGTCCACCGTTCTCCCTCGACTTTCTTCTTCGTCGAAGCTGTTCAGAGGAGTCGATGGACAACCATCGTCGTTGGAGGAGCTCATCGATTGGGGAAGGCAAACTTCATCATCGGTGACGTTGGCAACGCTCTCACCGTGGACTACCGACGGACAAGAGCTCAGAGCAGTGGCGAGAAGCTCGGACCACCGGCGGACAGAAACTTGAACCAATGGCGAGAAGCTTGGATAACGTGGACATCCATTGCTCACTTAAGATTTCGTCTTCTTCTCCTTTCTTCTGTCCAGAATTCACAGATCTGGAATTACTGTGCGAATCTGATGATGACGGTGGCACAAAAATGTTGGAGAGGATGGCAGCTATGGTTATATTTGATGGTGGTTGGGGTTGGGCTGGTCGGAGGTTGGGCTAGGGAAGGGCGGATCAGGGTTGAGCTGGTTAGAGCTGGACCTGAAAGGGTGTTGGGGGCTACGGAGGGGGCAGGGGTGGATGGGCGCTGGGAGGGGGTTGGGGCAGTGGTCAGCGGTGGGGAGGTGGTCGGTAGTGGTGGTCTACGCCATTGCTGGTTGGGTACGGCGGTGGTCACACAATTACTTGGCTGCGGGTTTGGTCACCCGTGGGGGACATAGGTCACTGAATGGGCGGATTTGGTCACTGGATGTGTAGACGTTGGTCATCAGATGAGCGGACGAACATGTAACTGTCACTTTAATAATGTAACTATTTAATTGTCACTGTAACATGTAATTGTGTGATTGTCATTATAGGCATGTAACTTTATTGTATATATATGGATATAATCGTAAAGTTAGTCACTTTGGTAGGCATGTGACTATGTAATTGTCACTATAACGTGTAATTGTCACTATAGACATGTAACTGTCACTGTATATATATGGATATAATCGTAAAGTTAGTCACTTTGGCACTGGTCACTGACCGGTGGTAGTAACTAAAACAGTGGTTACTGAAACGGTAGTAACTGGAACGATGGTAACTGAGAGAGTAATTAATGGAGCGACAATAACTGAGCGATAGTCATTGGAGCGGTGGTCATTAATATAGTAACTGAGATAATATGTCCCTAGTCGATGGAGTCACTTATAGTTAATCACATTCTTAAAAAAATCACATTATAGTTAATCACACAAATCACTTTGCCAAAAAAATAGACACTTTGAAATGATTTAAAAGACATTTTAAAATTTCACACAAATTTTTGTGTACTTTAAGTATTTAGGTATTTAAAAATAATAATATTAAAAACAACGAAGCACTCATCGTTGGGGCTTAATTGTTATGTAATGTAATGTTACGTGCATTATTACGGTTTGCTATTGTTGTAGCCTCCCGAAGCATTGTGTGGTGCTAAGCTTCACCAGTATGAAATAGTTAGAAGGGTAATTTAGTAAAGTAAATGCTTATTAGTCACATTTTTGGAAAATAAAAAGAATGATCACTTTTTTGTCCAAAACCTATTTTTTAGTAATATTCATGTCAAAACCCCTTTTTTATATGTAAATTTTAATTGTTAGTACTTGTATTAATCTAAGGGGGTGTTTGGAACTGATTCTGCTTCTGCTTCTTTTTTAAAGCAGAAGCAGGATCAGAATCAGTTTTCAGAAGCTGGTACCCCCCAGCTTCTAAAAAAACTGATTCTAGGAGTAAATTAGAGCACCAGAATCACTTCTGCATTTTCATCCAAACACTCCAACTTCTGTTTCTGCTCCGTGAAGGAGCAAAAGCAGTTTTAAGAATCAGATCCAAACACCCTCTAAATATATGATCCGAAGAGAGATAAGTTTGTTGAACGGATAACATTATGAAACGAAAATGAAAGAAAGGATCAAATTCATGATTTTGTACAAACTCTGAAATGAACAGCTCGGATCCTCACGAGTAATTTGGCTTAGAAACAGAAACATCGAGAAGAATTATGTTCCAATTCGCTCTGCATTTGCCTTTGGCTAAGATTAGATAATGGACTCTCAACACTCATTCTTTGACTTCTTTGACTTCTCTGGCTTCTTTGGCTCGGAGCAGGAGACTCAAACAAGTTCTCCTCTATTGCAACCTCATTGCCTTCACATATCATCTTAAAATCACAAAATTCTGGTGCATTTTGCATTATCTTATTAGCTGTGCTACCCCCCTTTTTATACTTTGATCTCCTAAAAACAATACATTTATAGATATAATAAATAAAGCTCAAGTAAAAAAATTATAAAGACAAAATCAAATTTTTTAAATTAAAAAAATTATAAAGTGAACAACATTTTACCTCAGGTTTGCCTTGGAACTGCCCAGAACCAGTTTTCTGATGTTACATAGAGGAATGAGGTCCAATATTGCTTTTGCTTCTGCATCACTCTCTATAACTATGGTTTCCACTTTAACCTTTGTCCAAGATGTTTTCCAAAAAATGGGATTCTTTGTAAACATTTTTTATTTAATTAATTACTTTTGATAGAATGTTTAATTTGTACCTTTGAAGCTGAGCACACATCGAGAAACTGCTTAAGGAACTCTCTCCTCTTGCTTCTTTCCTGAGCTTTGTACTTCTTTCTCTGCTCTGGATTCACTTGGCTTATCGGAATCATCCCCACTGTACTTATCAAGAAAAAGAATTAATTGGCTTAGTAAAATCGTATAAAAAAATTGCCATTGTGACGTTAATATTATCATTAACTAATACCCAATAATTAGTTAAATAGTGATCCACATCATAAAATAATAAAATACAAAGATACCGTGGACGTAGCTGAACTGGTAGCGAGAGAGTGCCACAAGGGTTAGGTCCCGGTTTGAATCCCGACAACTGCGATGAGAGGTTACTATGCTAAAATATGCATAGGGCCTTTGCAAGTAACGGGGACAGAGCCCACTCTCTATCTGTCAGATTGGGATTATAGTCCAATTTACATCCTCCCAACGTACCGTCTGATCAGGATTGGGGGCCCTCAGGGATAGGGTGTCATACTTTTTTTTATAAAATACAAAGATAGGAAGACAATTCCTAAAAGTATATACTCTCTCCCTACAAAAAAATCTTCCAACTTTTTTTTAAATAATCATTCAAATTCTAAATCTTACCATCATACTCTCAATAATTTTGTAAATAATCATGTATTTGTAAACTATTACAACTATTTTTTTATTTATCCTTAATACACAATTTTATTACTTGAAAGCAACATCGTCAAATGTTTTATATCTCATATCACTATTCATAATGTCACCGACTTTCCATATGAGAAGATATAATTGTTATGGAGTATTAAATAAACTGCTCAAAGGTTTAAAAGCTATTTTCATAATTTTTATTTTCTTCTAATAAACTTTTTATTATACTCCGTATTCAATTGAACTGGAACAGTAACAGAGCGATCTTTCCCTTAGCTTAGGGTTCGAAAGTGTGCCATCATCGTGCCGCTTTTTCTTTATCGAAGAATCCAAGCGCCGACTTGGCTTGCTTCGATGTTTGTGGTAGCGTACGTAAAGGATGGAGGGCGAGGCTATGAAGATTTACTGGGAAGAACATGAGCACGAAGGGGAACCGGTGGAGAGCCTAGCCAAAAAGTATGTGGGACGAGGAGAGTTGCACGAGCTTCGAATAGGCCAGATTTTGATCGACAATGAAGGATCAATTAGAGACTTAGAGTGGTACCAATGATACGTCCTCCTCTTGAACCACCGTCATGGGTTGTACGAGGTGCTAGAGTCCGTGAAAGTTTTCATATTAGTTATTATTATTTTGTCATTTGGTTTCTTGTTATCGTATTTGTTGTTATGTTTGTCGGTTTGTTTGAGAATTTAGCCTTTTTTATGTCATTGGACATGTTTGGATCTATGAGAACAAGGATGGCTATGTCAAGCTCGCTTTATGGTTAGCGATTCGTCTTGCTCTTTCAAGCGACCGTCTCTAACTCTGATCATAGGGTTTATGGTCATAGTTATTGGAGTTTAGTTGGTGTCAGATTTGTTTTTCCTTTGATTGATGTAATGATCCGAAAGTTTTGAAATGAATAGAGACAAGTTTTCATTCAAAAAAGTTGATCTGTAACAGTTATTACTATCGATAATTGTCATTATCAGGAGTATGAGTATGATGGTTTATCGATTGCGAATATCAACATCAAAAGTCATTGTTGATAATAATTTAGATTTGGTTGTTGGATAATGCAACACAAGAATTAGGGATGAATGAAATACTCCGTACAATCGTATGATGATGTGGGGCATCTTTCCACCATCCGTGGGGAGACAAGAGAGAAGAATCAGTTTTTGGCTCCGTTTGGAAACCAGCAGAATGGCCAAACCGACAGTTTGGTGAGTGGGATTTCTCGCAAATTATACCGTGGGATCGGCCCACCATGAGCATGGTGTGCCGATCCCAAAACGGTACAGTTTTATGCTTCCTATTAAAAAAAGAGCAAATCGCCAGATCCCCTTCATCTCCTTCATTGTTTCATCTCACCATGGAACTCCGCCGCATGTGGGACTAGAGGTTTCACCGTCCCCCCACGACCTTCCCTGAAATTGGTTGCACCGATGTAAAGATTAGGTCTATTGCTAGTGCAGTTGCTATGAGCATCTCAACGTCGTCCTTCTGCGGATTGAAGTAAACATTGACGATATGGGGCTATCCCTTATTTCTGAAGTTGCAGGTGTGTATTTTAGATCTGGAGTCCGTATGCGTGGGCCAATATAATGACTTCAAGCTAATTATTTGTTTTAATCTATATGTATAATAGTAATAATGTTTTTAATATGAAAGTTCAGATTCTAATGATGAAGACTCACCTTCTTACATCTTACTCACACTCAAGTTACACCGGTATTTGCCTAAAGTTACATATCTATTAGCGTAAGTTACATATCAACTTTCTTCATCAAGTTACATCTCGCTTACATGTAACTTACATTTTTCATAATGCGAGTTACATCACAATACATTGTGAGTTACACAACACAATAAGCTCTGTTATTAAAAAAAATCATAAAAAACATTTTTATAGATCTAATATTAAAAACAAAACATATACAATATTTATGTAAAATAATTGGGCAATTAGACTTCTTCTTTTCATTATTTACATTGAAATCAATATTTTATTTTTTATACTATGTATTTTGACAAGTTACATTTCGAACGGACGGGAGTTACATTGATCAATAACGTGAGTTACATATCTTTACACGCGAGTTACATCATTCATGCTACTGGGACAAAAGGGAAAAAATAGGACGCGTGTACTGTTCACGCGTGTACTGTTCACGCGAATTTTTTTAAAAAAATTTGGGTAAAGCTGCGTCATTTTGGAAGTGGAGCACCATGCTCACCGTGGGATGATCCCACGGTATACGAACTCTGTCCGGCCAAATTTGATGATTATCTCATTTTACTTTTTGGAAAAATCTTACTAACATTGTCTCTACAAAATTTGGTAAAATTTATGTGACTCTAAATGATTTTTACTTTATTCTTACTTTATTAATTTAATATCAACCACACAAAACAATTTTTCTTAATAATCGGGTCACCTTCTCTTGTCTCAATCTTAGTGGGACGGAGGTAATATTTTTTTAATCAAGCACGTGACTTTTGATTTCACGCTTTAATATTGTAATACTCCGTAATAAGATAAGGTAAGATTTGAATTACTTTTTTGTCTGTATTGGTTGAAATTACTGTCGATGACTATTTTTGTTATTTTCTCATGTAGTTTTTTCTTTATTTATTAATAAAATACATTTTAAATATAATTTTTTTATAAATCAACAAAATCAGTCAATACAGTCACTTCAGCCAGAACTTCATAAATTTCAACTGATTCAGCCGATTTTGTGTTGCCAAACGAACTATTAATTGTTTCATTCTTTGTACCCTTTTATTTTACTCCGTATTTCTTTTCAAAAACATATTCCGTATACTCCATCCTTCCATTTTACGGACTACTGTTTATTTTTTCTTTTCTCCAGCAATGAAATGCACCCACTTTACCCATCTTAATTGGTTTCACATTTTCAATTGTTGGTCCAAAAAAATTTGTTTTAATCGAATTTGTCTACTCCGCAGTATTTAAGAAAGTGGATTGATCTCACCAATTCCCAAATTGTTATTGAAGATTAATCATTCCAAATCGCTCACACCATAAAAACGTTGTCGTGAAATGGTACGGAAAAGTGAAGACATACAGGTATATAAATATGTACTCCTTTCCCAAAAATGCTCATACAGTCATAATCTTGTACTACGTTCATGATTATTGCCAAATACTTTCTCCCTTCATCAATAATTATATCTATTTTCAAAAACAAACTTTGTTCACAAAATTTATAAGGCAATCCATGATAATTAAGAGCTCGTTTGGCAACACTGAAATTAGTTGAATCGGCTGGTTTTGCTGAAATTTATGATGTTCTGCCTGAAATATCTGTATTGCCTGATTCTGCTGATTTATGAAAAAAACATATTTAAAATATATTTTATTAATAAAATAAAATAAAAAAGATCTGAAAAATAACTAAAATGGTCATCTATAGTAGCTTCAGCCAATAAAGTTAGAAAAGTAATTTAACTTTACTTTTTCTTATTATTACAGAATCACGCGAAATCAAAGTTTACTTGTTTGGTTTAAAAGTTAACTGATAAGTCGACAACAGAGTTACCAAACGGGCTCTAAATTATGTACATATTATACTCCCTCCGTCCCTATTATAACTTCATAGTACAAATGACACGGGAATTAAAATAGTGAGTATTATATGGTAGAAAGTTATACACATGAGAGATAAATGTATAAGAAATATTGTGAACCGCAAATTCTTTACTAAAAAGGAAAGTGAGAATTTAATAGGGATAGATGAAAAAAATTGGAAATTTTTCGAGGGAGTATTATTTATTTGACTTTAGTTTGTTACCTCCAATACTCTAGTACTAGAACTTAATAAAAGTATAACTGCCCGTTTATAGTTTATAACAGGAAAGATGTATAATTTGACAGGGTGTGGTACGTCAGTGTCTATATTGTGCATCCGGGTGTACCTACACCCGGCCCAAGTAAGATTGACAGCCCAATAACTGATACAGACAAAAAAAAAAATCGATGGCATTTTTGTAATTTAAGCGAAAAATCAGTCTTCCGCTAAATGAGCAATATTATACTTTTAGTGAGCATTTGTCCTTTGAGATGAAATTCACGGTTTCTAGTAAATGAGCATTAATGAACCTTTAATGAGCATCATGTCTATTCTTTTGGAGTAGTAATTGTCTCTCGAGTTAATGAGGACAAATTTCAATTCACACATTAAATTTCGATTGCAACTATATAAGTAGATAACAATTTGTCAATTTATTTGGGAGTGTTTGAAAAACTTGACCCAATTCAATAATTAGATTATTTTAAAATTGCCATTAATATTTTAAATCTTTAGATATTAACCCTTATCGGTTGTGATTCTTAGAACCCGTTTGGTGACCATATTTTTCGACTTATCAGACTTATCAGTCAACTTTTTCACCAAACACGTAACTATTTATTTTGCGCGTTTAATTGTGCAATAATAAGAAAAAGTAAGGTTGAAGTTACTTTTCTGGCTATATTGGCTGAAGTTACAGTAGAGAATCATTTTAACTATTTTTTAAGATAATTTTTCCTTTATTTTATTAATGAAATATATTTTACATATAACATTCTCATAAATCAGCTAATACATCTACTTCAATCAAAACTTGATAAATTTTAGCAGAATCAGCCAATACAGACGATTTGAATATTATCAAACAGGCTACGTAGTATTAATTAGCCTGCTCAACAAGAAGGCTATATCACTTGAGAGTGGAGTTGGGAAGAAATGACACAGAACCGATTCTTGGTGCGCGTACTCCAAAAGTAATAGGGAACTCTAAAGATCTTCCTACACCGGTACATACACTTCTAGTTAAATTCTCATGCATGTCAAATATCAATGATGATGTTGATATATACTTATGTGATACGGAGTATGTTATTTCTACTAAGAGTCTCTTTAACTAATGTGGTTTTCATTGTTGTCAAAAATCATGATTTACTGTACAGTGTATAATAAGATAATCGAGATATAATGAGTTAATCATCAAAATAGGACTAAAAAACACTCACTTTGCACAAATAGGACCAAAAAATAAACTATATTTTCATATGACTAATTATGTGTTTCTTGGACAAATATACCTTTATACCTATTGAAATGTTTTAATTCATAATAAAATAATAAAAAATAATATAAATTCGTAAAAAATACTAAAAATTTAATAAAAATATTTCGATAATTATAATAATTTAATTTTTTTCAAAAAAAAACTAAATAAAAATAAATAAATGAAAACTCAAAAAAATCACCGCCGCTTCTGCCACCTCAGCACCACAACCTCCAGTCACCAGGGGAAAAAATGCCAAATTCATTACGAATTCCATATTTATGGCAGAAAACAATGAAAATGTTGGCATTCTCAAAGAGAAATATGTCATTCTTTGGCATTTTCAGAAAAAATGGCAGTTTTTAGGAAAAATGGAATTTTTTTCACCGCCCGGAGGTGGTGGTGCAGGGATGTAGTACAGGCGGTGGGAAAGGCATCCATATTTTTTTTAATATTTTATGGAGTTTTACTATTTTTTATTTTTTTTTTTGAAAAAAAATTATTAAAAAAATGTTTTTTGAATTTTCTATTTCATAAATATTTTATAAATTTTTTAACTATTTTTCTACGACTTTTTTTTAAATTTTTTCGAATTTATTATGAATTAAACATTTAATTATGGTTTTGACTATTTTTAACTCATATTTAAAGGAAGGGTAAGAATGGAATGAAAAAATAGGTATGTTTCCAATAGGACTAATATGATCCTATTTTAATAAAAAAAAATATAGCAAGTCCTATTCTGAGCTTTTGCAATAATTTTAGTCCTATTTGAACTAATTTCTAAAATATAATGTATTAATGTACTAAATAAATATAATGAAGCGTATCCCTCAGCCATTTCCATAGTGTTGTTGGCAGAAGTTGAAGTGTTGAACCACATCATGTCCTTTTATGTCATTAGTTAGTTAGCAAAAATCTCAATACAAAATCATGTATCCAAACCACATCCCAGATATGAGGAATATAATGAGACTATGAGAGAATGGAGTCAGGAGGTCAAATTGGAACAAATTTATAACAACTTTGTTTGATATACACTTTTTGTGTACACCTTTTGTGTACATCCGTTTGTCCTCAGTCGATGAGTTGTCTGTTCACAGACAACTCTACAACTTGTCTGCTGGGGACAGACGGGTGTACACAAAAGGTGTATATCACGCATTTTTCAATTTACAATTAGATAGTCGTATAAGCGAATAAACCTTACCTTTCTTTTGGAACAATTGAGCACAATTTGTAATTATATTGATACAACTCTAAATTATAGAGAACATTCATTCTCTTTAATTTCAACATTATCTTTTATGTTCACTAATCATTCTACATTAATTAAGCGCTGTACGTACGCATGTACGTACATTTACATTTTCATTTACAAAATCTAAGGTTATTATACCAAGAATTTTTTTGAACGGAAACTTGCCTTTATTTTTATCATAAGTTTCAGGATCATTACTCGAACTGTAAACCTTATAGTGAGACTTAGAGATGGTCACCTCTGAAAGAACAACATGAATCGCTAACCATGCAGTGGGCTTGACACAACTATCTTTGTTCACATAGATTCAAACATACCCAATGACATAAAAGGAGGCTAAATTCTCAAACAAACTGACAAACCTAACAAAGACGGTAACAAGAAACCAAAAGATAAAATAATAAAAACTAATAGGAGGACGAAACATGAAAAAAACTAAATAACCAAAATAAGTATCTTGAACCCACGTTCATCCCCTAGCGGCGGTTCAGGAGGAGGCCGGATCATCGCTATGATTGTTGACACAAACAAGGCACAGCTCCCGCCTGTCGTTCGATTAATGCCCTGGCGCGCAACCTCCGTCTGCCCCGCAATGTCAGCCCCTCTGGGCGCCTCCCTTTCTCCCTCCCTTGACTCCTCCATCGACCGCCACAGCACGTCTAGCGATATTTCTGTGAACAATTCCTTGTCTCCAAAAGACGACTAAATTTAAACGTCGCACACAGGACAACGGCAAAAACTGGAACCCTTAGCTTATTCAAGGAGACGGCCGCAGATCTTAAGAATTCATTTGCTTAACACTTTAACAAGACACAGGAATCCAACGTGATTGATCATTGATCGACTAAACCTTCTGGTGCTATGTCTCGTATGAAACGTGTCTTATACCAAGAATTAGAAATTCTTATTGGTAGAATGTGTCATTTAATGATATATTTATTCTTTTATTATCCCAAGTACGTATTCTAGCCCGTTGGGCAATTCCTATATTTTTTTTATCAACCTCATAAGATAATTTTTTATTGAATATGTAAATTTTAATTTCACGCGCTGAATTTTGTAATAATAAAAATAAATAAGGTCGGAATTATTTTTCTAGCTGGAGTTATTGTAAATGAAAACTTTAGTTATTGTTTCATGTATCTTTTTCTTAATTTTACTAATAAAATACATTCTAAAAATAATGTTTTCATAACTCAACAAATTGATTCACAAATTCATCAATTTCAACAAATTTAGAACTCGTTTGGTAATCCTATTTTTTTTGCTTATCGGGCTTATCAGATAACTTTTTCACCAAATACGTGTAATAATAATGAAATAATGAATAGTTTTCATAACTTTTGATTTCGCGCGCTGAATTGTGTAATAATAATGAAAAGTTAGGTTGAAGTTACTTTTGTGACGTATTGGCTGAAGCTACTGAGAGCGATTTTACCTATTTTTACAACATAATTTTATTTTATTAATAAAATATATTTTAAATATAATTTTTCCATAAATCAACAAAACTAGTCAATTCAACCACTACAATCAGAATTTCGTAAATTTTAGCAGAATCAACAGATTCAGCCGATTTTGGTATTATGGGCTCTTAACTATTCCACCCATTTAAATGTTAATTATTGTTCTACCTTCAAATCTCCAATTTGAACTTTTCAACGCAAAATTGGAACGCGGCGTATAAAAGACGGAGTAATTATTAATTAACTAAATAATTAAAGTGTAGCGCTAGCTGCTAGATCTTACTGTACTAATTAATTAATGACTTACATGGCGAAGGGACGAACTTGGTCTCGGGGAAAATATGTACCAGAAACACCATGGAAGACCCCAGCGGGTGTACGGCATTGGCGAGGGCCCACACCAGAGCGTCCATGCTGGCATCCACCTCACTTTTCGGCTCACTCCGGACGACGACGTAAGTGCCGGCGACGCACCGGTTGCAGTCGCTGAGGAAATCGTACGAAAACAAGCTGCTCCGGCAGTCGTAGTCGTCGTCCGTCTCCTCCATTGACTTCGTGGCGCTCATATCCTCCACCGCCGTGATCTCGAACAGATCCTCGCCGCTGCCGGTGCGGGCCGCGGCCAGCGACGATCGCGTCTCTTGTGCTTCGCTTCCCATAATGATTTTATATATATATGAGTGAAGACGACTCTATTAGCTTGGAAAGATCGAATTAATTATGAAATTAGCTTAGCTAAGTAAGAGATCGAAGTTAATGAATGAATTAAGGAAGCTAAGCTCCGAGATACTTGGTAGTGAATCCGATTGATGAGTGTTTTTAAATGTTTGAGGTTTGGATATTACGAGACAATCAACCGAAAGGGTGACCCGGCCAAGAGGATAGATAAATTGAAGACAAGGAATTACGACGACTTTTCAAGTTACATTTTTATTTTTTACAAATTATTAATGACGTCTCATTTTTCAAAACACTTTATCCTGAGTATATGTTAAATATACAATTTGAACTAACTACTTAAGTATAAATATATACTTCCTTCGTTCTTAAATAAATGCAACAATCAACATTTTACACCTGGCGAGACACAACTTTGACCATTAATATAAACGATTTTGTATTAGTAAAAAAATTTAAAAAATTAGATTATGAAAATTTACAATGAGACAAGTTTAACAATATTTTTTCATAAAATAATATTATTACATTAATAAATAAAACGTAATCAAAGTAGAACTTGTGAATAGTGTAAAAGTCAAAATGTTGCATTTCTTTAAGAACGAGGGAAGTATATATATATATATATATATATATATATATATATATATATATATATATATATATATATATATATATATATATATATATACCTATATATATACACATATATATACACATATATATACCTATATATATACACATATATATGTGGGATTATGTTATATATGCACGTATTTAGATTTTTTCTTTTGCATTTGTGATCAATTTATACTAGAACAATATTAATTCACAAAGAAGATCAATTTATATTACGTGCATGTAAAGATGTAATTGTAGTAAAATTTGATAAAATTACCTAAATAGAAGTTAAACTAAATTAAAAAATTCAGTGAATTTTTTATCTTGTTATTCTTTAAATAGAATTTATAGGAAAGAAAACACTCTTAATCTTATTATAGACTTTTTCATATGTTTCTCTTATTTTGAGCAACTTCCTATAAAATTTTAGGTGATCTATAGGGTTAGGGTTGGGGTTGAGGGGGCAACCGTCCCCCTTGTCTCCACGTACAATGGATAGGCCCCTCGTCGTAGTTAAAACAAAACTATTGTAGAAGTTCATTATTATAAATTTTTTATACAGTACCTTGTTCTATACAAAATGAATCACTAAAATAGTACATTAAACAAAAAATTCAAAGAAGAGACAAATATATCATTACAAAGAGTAAAGTTAATATCTTAAAATTGTGTCCGACATTCCTTCAAAGAGATAAATTCCTAAATTACAGCTTTTGAATCAGAAGCTTGTGAGAATTGGACTTGCCCTCAATTTTTTAGATTTTTGTTTAAAAGAATACACAATCATTCATAGTAAATAGATCCATATAGACTATAAACGTATCACAATTTAACTTATAATTTATTTTTAACCTCTTTCATTTTTTAACCATAGTAAATAATTAATTAAAATTTGGAAAAGTAATTATGACATTTATTTATATTTTGGGGTACAAAAATATTTTTTTCGGGGGCCAATTATACTTTTCCCATATATAAAATGACAAAAATATTTTTCTTGGGGGTGTAGCGTGGCCCCCGATTCTCTGCTACGGGTCCGCCCCTACTTGCCATTATAAAATACTCTAACAAAGGTCCATTTTATTATGAGTACTTTAATATAACAGTGAAGTTTACTTCATACTACGTAGTACGTATATTACAATAAAACGATCATACTTATTAAAGAAAACTTGATGTTTAGATGCAAATTTCGTACTCTTAAGGAGCGAACTGATCCTTATTCGCATTCAATGTTGAAAAATGAATTATTTAAAAATCAGAAAAAAGTAAATTTACACGGAGTATATTCAACAAAAATAACACAAAATAAAAAAACATGTTAAATTGCAACGTGCATGTTGAATTTATTTTAGTACTACGTAGAAATGATATTATTAAAAATTATGTAGTTGATATGATAATTAAAAAAATGGATTTATGTAGTTGATATTAAATTGATAAAATAACACGGAGTAATAAACTAAGAATTATGTAGAATTACACAAACTTTATCAAATTTGGTATAAGACAATCCTTGTGGAAAAGACTAAAAGTGAAAGAAGAGATAATCTTAATGGGACAGAAGAAGTTAAATTTATGAATAAAAAATGAGTAAAGTTACTATGAGTTAGTCAGTGCAATGTAAAGTTTGATATTGTTTGGACGCAAATTTAATTGCAAATTTACTAGATCACAGTTTACGTAAAAATTATATTTGTGTCGTCATATATGAGACATTGGGGATGTTTGGATCTGATTCTTAAAATCGCTTCTGCTCTTTCAAGGAGGAGAAACAGATGTTGGAGTGTTTGGGTGAAAGTGCAGAAGTGATTCTGGTGCTCTAATTTACTCCTAGAATCAATTTTTTTAGAAGCTAAAGGTGATCAGCTTCTGAAAACTGATTCTGCTTCTGCTTTTAAAAAATAAGCAGAAGCAAAATCAGTTCCAAACACCTCCATTATTTACTCATTGATTCTATTTATTAATATTATCAAAAAGTTTTTGTTTCTAACTGAACAAGAGAATTTAAAAGGTTCAATAATGATGAACATTATTATGCTTTGCATAATGTTACAATTGCCAAAGAGTTTTTGTTTGGTGTGCTAGCTGCAGGCTGTTTCATAGTTGAAGGATAAGATTTTACCTTGAGCGATGTTTTTCCCTATTGTCGGAGGTTTAGAATGTTTTTACTTTGACTCTAATTTGCTGATCTGGTCTGATCTGATCTGGTCTGGTCTGATTTTTTGTATTTTTATAACTATCCAAGTCTGGTCTGATATGATCTGGTTTGAACTGATCTGGTCTGAACTGGTCTGGTCTGATCTGGTCTGAGACGAATTACAGTCCAAGTAAAAACATCCTTAATACACCAAACCCCCTTGTGATATGGAAATTTGACGCATTAATCCCATGTGATTTAAAACACGAGAAGATTTGATACATTTTTCAAATCTCAGGGGACGAATGCGCTGGATTTCTATATAACGAGTGGTTTGGTGCTTTAAACCCCTATGGTTGATGACTTTTTCACTAGCACGTGGACAAGAAGGCCATGGGACGACTTGGCTTTATTAATAATGCCATGTATGACTTTTCTACTTTGATTTGGTGAGTTTTGGGCTAAATGATCATTTTATGTACATGCGTAGATAAATTTAGCAAATAAGTCTATGTGCTTGTTTCGGAAAAGTAGAATAACTATTTTATAAAAGATTTATTAATCATCCAATTAGAATGCATTGAATTTTCTTTCGTTTTCTTTTAACATAATACTCGTATAACATCAAACTCGTTTCTATAAATATAATGCATTTATCAAAACCAACTTAATAATTCATTGGTATTCCTTATTTTATGCTCATCTAACATTTTTGTTGCGTTCATTTTATGATGCCGTACCATTATATTGCTCATTTCGTTTAAAGGTTATACTCATTTACATGTAGCATAAAATTCACTTCTATAACTCTCATTTCTCTAACATTTTCTCGGACCCAAATATAGTCCAAGTAGAATATACTTGCTACCAAGTCATCTCAAGTGCAAATCAAGCCAAAATGAGATGAATGTGAAGCACATGAACATGCAAACCCTTTCACCTTATTCATTCATATTTCAACCATCCACCCAAAAACACCAACCGAGTACCTTTTAGTATTTTTTTAGGTAAACAAAATATAGGAAAAGATGACCGGTAACTCGGTAAGCCATGTATGTTTGTAGCATAATAAGCAAGACTTTGGGTTTCTACAGCTTGGGTCGTGCCATCTTTGCTTCAGGCCTACAATCAGCAAAACACATTGAAGCTTATTGAATTTTGAACTATGTTCAATACTTGGTGACTCTCCTTCATTGACAAGTTCTTTTCATTCAATTAACCATCTTTCAAGACAAATCATCTAACAAAACTTTGACACTAAATAAAAAGCAGAGGTAATTATGAAGAAATGAACAGATGGGTAAAATCGCTAAAGCTTACATGAGCTCAACAACTACGGCAGAAGCTCCCCCTCCTCCATTGCAGACTCCAGCAACCCCAACTTTTCCATTCTTTGCCCTCAGCACCTGTGATTAAAAGTGGTTAACACATGTTATTCTGTGTGCAGTGTGCCGCTATTGGTGTTTTGAGCACTAAATTTCTCATGTGACTATTTTCACATGCACTGTGCTGATGTTGTTCCTGCAACTTGTATTCATACTTCAATTTAATTTTGGAAGTAAGAGGTAGCTCACTTGAGTTGGTTGTATCCACAGATATTACTAATTTACTATCATTACTATTATAAATAATATTACTATTACTACTATACTCATCGTTGTCAATTTTAACATCATCACCATTATAATTACCATTATTATTAGTGTTACCATCATTATTATCGTTGTGGTTGTTGTTGTGATTCTTGTTGTTGTTATTTTGACTATGACTAATAGTCTATTACTACTAGTCTACTACTACCGACACTGATACATACCCCTAGCAAAGTGACCAAGATCCTAGCCCCGCTGCACCCCAATGGATGTCCCAGAGACACGGCTCCTCCATGCACGTTCAATTTATCCTGAATACAGAACAGAGAAAAGACGGATCAAAGCTAGAACAACCGTTCTTAATGTAGAAAATCTTTTAATTTGAACATGCTAAAAGAGGCAAAGACTTTAGGGCACTCTTGAACTCACAACATTAATATTGAGCAGTCTTTGGTTGGCAAGGGCTACAACCTGCAACAATGGGAATATGAAAAGGTTATTAAGTGCACAGTGCAACGTTCGTATCTGAAAAACGGGAAAAGGTTTCAGATTTCTAAGAAAAACTGGAAAAGGGGAAATATATTTTCTTCACTCGTTCTCCAAGTTTAGAATCCATAAAACAAAATATGTAATCACTTCATGTCCACAAGCTCTCGGAAATCAGAAAACATGAATGTTTTCCAGCTTTCCTGTTTACTACATATTTACCACCATCATGACATTGGAAAATATGCTTTCGTAAACATGTTTTCCAAAGAATAAATTATAAGACATAAAAAAAGAATGTTGAACTGCAAAACATGAAACAGGAATACACATGCCCTC